AGAGGCGTTGTGCAAAGCTGCCTGCCTGCCTCCTGCTGCTGCTGCTCAGTGCAGTGTGATGATGATGATGATGATGATGATGATAAACTGTGTATTTAGTTAGTTCATAAGATTCATACACCACTTGAATGTAAAAGAAACCCCTCAAAGATAAAAAAATTTACAACATACCAAAGTTAACATGCTTATTAAGATTACCTCCACTTTCTAAGCAAGTGTGGGCTTGTCTAAGCAAGAATATTTTTATCAGGTGCCAAAATGAATGAGTCCAGTGAAGGCGCCTGCTTGATTTCAATGGGCAGGGAGTGCCAAAGTTGAGGTGCTGCCACACTTAGGGCCTTCCCTTCCCAGTTGCTGCTGCTCAGGCATCCTTGAGGCCCCCCATGCTCTGAGACCAAAGAGCACCTCCCCCAATATCAGCTGTTGCAAATATTGACATTGGTGGAATGCCCTCCCTGCGGATGTGCGTCTCTCTCACCCAGGTCTGGAGGAATTTTAAAACACTTCTGTTCACACAGACTTTTGATGGCTGAAATACAGTTATTGGCGACTGTGAAAAAAGTAGCTGTGAGATGCAATTGCTTTTGTTTTACAATTTTTGTATAGTGTTTGTTGCCTTTTGGGAGGATAGAAATCAAATAAATGATCTCTAATAGTTATCCACCCCAGGGAATTAATCTGATTTGGTGTTGCTAGTTTGTTCTGTATAATTTTATGATATTTTAGTGATCTTATTGTACACTGCCATGGTAGTCTTTTAATGAGCTGGTGGTTAATAAATACTCATAATAAACAAAAAAATCCCTTTTAAAAAATGATCCCATTCTTTGAGGTTTCAAAACAGCACCGGTACTTGAAAACAATTGCTGAGGCCAAAATATTTTCTTTGTGCTATGAATGCATCATGGAATTCATGTGGTTACTAAGGCTAAATCTAGATAGACGGGTCCAATTGCACCTTGGAATGCCTCAGTACATTCCTGGGCGCTGCTTCGTCTCTCCAAGCAGTTAACCCCTTTGTTCCCACAGCTGAGAAAGCAGATGGCGTTTATGCAGCAATTCACGTGGCCCAAGAAGAAGAGTTTTCTACATCTGAGGACTACAGAGTCCTCTATGATTACACAGCCCAGGTAAGCATCAAATCCCCCCCCCAGGTGCATAGAGCAGGGGTCAGCAAAGTTACTGCACCTCGGGACGGTGTCTCCAGCGCTGATCGCGCTGTGGGCTGGAGGGCGGGGGAGCACGTGCCCATACGTGTGGGCACACGCTATTTCCGGCACACTTCCGGGTTGGAGGAGCACCGAAAATAGCTTGTGCGCATGTGCACGGGCCTCCTCCGACCTGGATGTGCACCGGAAATAGCTTGTGCGCATGTGCAAGCATTATTTCCGGTGCTCCTCCATCCCAGAAGTGGATCAGATAAATGAGTCCCTCGGGCCTTATCCAGCCCATGGGCCTTAGTTTGGGGACCCCTGGCATAGAATCTGCTTAAACAAAATCAATATCAATCTGAACACAAACTCCAGGAGGTAAATGTGGTTTTATTTTTATTGGCTGATTGATTGAATGAATTGCCTTTAAGTGGAGGCCATGCACAGCTGACGTGCTCCCTCGCAGGCCGCTTTTGTGATCCCAAAAACAAGGATAAAAATCCTTAAACACAAAGCCACAAAGCAGTTCCAGTTAAACTATCCCAAGAAATGGGAGCTGCAGAGAGAGCTCTTGCCCTGATCTCTCTGCATGTAGTAGTAGTAATTGTATTATTTATACCCTGCTTATCTGGCTGGGTATCCCCAGCCGCTCTGGCAGCTTACAGCACATAAAAATTTGTAAAACATTAGACATTAACAATTTCCTGATACAGGGTTGCCTTTAGATGCCTTCTAAAAGTCAGATAGCTGTTTATCTCCTTTAGAGGGCGTTCCACAGGGCGGGTGCCACTACCAAGAAGGCCCTCTGCCTGGTTTCCTGTAACCTCACTTCTCAGAGTGAGGGAACCGCCAGAAGGCCCTCAGAGCTGGACCTCAGCGTCCGGGCAGAACGATGGGGGGGAGGAGATGCTCCTTCAGGTATACTGAACCAAGGGCGTTTAGGGCTTTCAAGGTCAGAGCCAACACTTTGAATTGCGCTCAGAAACGTACTGGGAGCTAGTGTAGGCCTTGAAGAAAAATCAGTGACAGGAGACATCAGCTGAAGCCCAGGAGCACAGCATAACTACCTCGAGATCCCTTACTCTACACTCCAAGGCAAAGAGCCCGCGGGTAGGATTTCCTAAAGCCCCACTGCTATCAGAGCTGGTTCATGGGCAAAGTGACACGCCCCTGGCCTCACTGGGTGGCTGGGAGCAGGGCTGTTGGGTCCTGCTGCTGCTCCTGCTGTTCTCCACAATGCTGCAGATGGTCTTCATGTTGGGAAGTTGTATGGCAGCTCCATCAGCTGCTAGAGCTCCAGGTAAGGAAACGCTTTGTGGGCGCCAAAGTCACAAGTCAGCAATGAGCTCCGTCTGGGCGCCTGGTACCCAGAGCAGCTTTGGCTGCTGTGTATGTTCACAATTTGATTTGGGTCATGGTAACCAGGTTATAGAGTTTAGCATACATTAACGAAAAAGAAGGCCATCACCTGATTAAAGAAACGTGTTGATCTATCAACTAAGCTATAATTAATTGGTCGGTCAGTCACTTAATTTTGCTTAAGGTTGTGCTTGTTACTAAAATTAACATTCTGAAAAAGGGGGAAGAGGCTGGAGGGGCTCCTTGGCCCTTTATGGTATGCAAGGCCGGGGGGGGGGCACTTCAAGGCCACAGGCTGATTGTGGCCCTCCGGGTCTCTTTACCTGGCCCTCCAAACTCTTCCCAGGCAACACTCCACTTCCCAGCCACTAGCTCTGCTTCAAACCTGGAATGTTTTTGCCTGGCATGAATGTGTCCTTGATATCCGATAACCTCCCTTGCTTGTCTGGAGTGTGTGTGTGTGTGCGCGCGCAGAAGCCTGTCTAGTGTGCAAAGGAAAACTTTAGTCTTGGTACTCCACCCACTTTTGCCTCTGGCTGAGCAAGGTTCCCCACCCATCAGAGCACCTGTAGCAGCACCTGGGTGGGACTGGGCAGCTCCACTCCCAACTATAGGTGTGGGGAAAGCATGGACCAACAGCAGCAAAATGCTGTCTCCACCTGAAGAACTAGGGAATCAGGCAGAAGGGATCTGGCCTAGCCTTCTACCTGGGATGGTGTGGAGAAGCCTGGGACCTTCCAGCTGCTGCTGGAGCAAACCTCTCTTGAGTCCTCCATTTGTTCTCTTTTTCTAGAATGAGGATGAGCTGGATATCCAAGCAGGTGATGTCATCTCCATCATCGAAGTAGGCGATGATGGCTGGTGGACTGCAGAACAGAACGGAAAGCAAGGATTTGTGCCTGGGTCTTATCTGGAAAAACTTTGATGAGAGGAGCAACCTGGAGTGTTTTGATTTTCCCTTCTCCAACCCGCCCCTCCAGATATGCCTTTTAATAATCTTTGTGAATGTCATTAAATGAAGAGCTATGGGTCTACACTTACCGGTAAATTTAACAGAGATTGCTGCCTAGTGTCCCATGCTGCTAAAAACAAAACAGCACAACTACAAGATAGACCCCTATCTATTTTAGCAGGCTTTGGTAACTTGCAGTCTTCCTGCTGTTGCTGAACTGAAACTCTTTGTCATCCCTGACCACAGGTTGGGTCGGATGGGAGTTGGGAGCGGCGCAGGTTAGCAACTCCAGGTTTATGATTTCTAGGATGATGGCCTCATAAGGGATCCACAGAGGACCTCTCTAAAAGACCCTTTTGTTGCAACGCAGCCATTTCAAGTGCCACTCTGGAGGGATGTCTTGGTGCTGGTGTCTTTCCTCTTCTCTCCAGCGGACGGAACCCAAAGCACATAGATCAAACCAGCCCTTTCCTGGCTCTGCAGTTGCCCCCTGGAAATGAAGGTGGGGGAGCTGTCATTGGAGCTGCACTCAGCAATCATTCAAATTCTCAGCTGCCTGGGATCAAAAGCTCCTTTGGAGGGGGATGAAATGCACTTGCAGTTGTTCCACTGGGGTGCCAACACTGGTTTCTGCCGCAGCAGGGTACCAGCAGCTGAGAATTTGAATACAGTGGTACCTCGGTTTTTGAATGTAATCCATTCTGAAAGACCGTTCAAGTTCTGAAACGTTTGAAAACCGAAAACTCAACAGCTGACAGCTAGGCCTCAGGATCTTGCACTCAGCGGAAGCTGTGTGGCATGTTGAATTTCCCCAAAATGTTGGTCAACGGAGATGTTTGAAAGCCGAGGTACCACTGTACAAGTGGCAAGCAGCAAGTGGAAGGCCTGAGAAATACTCCCATGACCTGTTCCGGGGACCCCTCTTGGAATGACACGCCAGACCGTTTCTTTCATTAGAAAGAAACCCACCCTGTAAATTCTTTCAACTTGCAGATTCCTGCAGGCGTCCTAAGGTTACTGACGTACTCATCTCCCAATGGAGCCAACTATGTATGAGTATGCTCCCTGAAGTCTCACGCTCTCCACAAATCTGCTCACGGGTTGGATAGACTGAGCAAGGGCCTTTTTGAGCCCCTTCTGAGCCATCCACACCAAACTATGTCAGTATTTATTTGCCGCCAGTTGCACCGCATGCAGGAGCTACACGAGGAGAGAGCACAGAAGCAAGTCACCTGGGAACTCAATCCAGCTTTGCTCTGGAGGCAGAGTTTGCTTGCTTTGGGAGGGAGGAGGGAGAGCATCTCCTGTGCTTTGGGGTTGACTCTAAAGGTATAGAAAGGAAGCAGGTGCCTTTAATAAATGAAAAAGGAAGGAGACAAGAATGGTCTTGTAACCTGACAGGGTTGTGCGAGACGGCAAGTGATGTGAATACTGAGAGTTATTTAATATATGTTTTAAACAAAAAAGTCATTGAATTTTCTGTGTTTCACTGATGAAAGTTATGTTACAAGTAAAACATTAACGATGTTATATTTTTTAAAATGTAGTCTAAAGTATTTAATTGCAGACTTATCATTTAACAGCATATCCAAAAGTTTTAAAATAATAAAAAATAGATTGCAATGAGCAGAATGGTGTAATTTTCTGTTAAGCTCTCTTAGCTTGTCATTTTACAGACTGAGAGTTTGGACAAGACTTTTTGCTGTTCCAAGACCACTAATACTACTATAGCTGCCTAATTTCCCATTGCTAAATTACCACACCACTACATCCAATTCATGCAAGCCATGTATCATGTGTCTTTCAGCTACATTTATCTCTTGTCCATCCAAAGATAGCTGCACAATGCCAAGTGCTCAAATCAGAGGAACAGAAATGTTAGGAGCAACAGGGGCTTCCTTCTCCCTAACGCCGCCTTCAGATTAACGTGTGGAGCAGCGCCTGAAGAGTGGCAGGCCCTACAGCTAAAGCCATAACCCTCTGGCCAGAGAAAACACACTTTTGTGGGCACCTTTAAGCCTAGACAAGTTTATCATGGCATATTCTGTGAACCGCCCTGAGACCCCTGGGTTTTGGGCGGTATATAAATTCAATTAACAATAATAATCTTATGAAGTGGCTAATCTTCAAGATGTCACAAGGCTGTTGCTTTTGCTGCAACAGACTAACATAGCTCCCTCTCTAGTCCCAGGGCTAGACAAGTGGTCATATATTGAATGATGTTCTTCCCCCACATTCCTTGTCCAGATCACTTCATAACTGCTGGCATTGCACAATAGTGGAAGATCACACCTGAAGCACTTTTTGTAGGTATGTTTTGCAGGAAATTCCAATGACTACATTTCTTCCTCTTCCCGCAGAATTCCATTAGCAGGCATTATAGAGAAACTTATTAAAATGTTAAGAGTCAATCTTTCTCCTATTTTCTGTCTCTTTTCACTTGCAGTTATGGATAAATCTTTTAAGATACGTGCACTTCAACTACTGCTCTTTCAATAGAAAAGGACATGAAAATAGGCTTATTTCCTTTGAAATAACATGGGTGTTTATTAGCTGATGAGCTTGGAAAATAAGGCCTGTCACTGGTGCAGCTTAATCCCTACTTCAGTCAAAACAAAAGCCTCTGGTGAAGGTTTCTTTGCAGCTGGACCCAGAGGAAAGCTGGTTCATTTGGCTCCCTTGTCAGGATTTGTAATTTGATTTGACGGATGGTGTGCAGGGGAGGTGCTGTATGACAAAAGGCTTGTGCTCAGGGTGACTTCAACCAGTGGCATTCAGGAAGGGGGGATTTGGCTGCAGGGAGCAGACAGAGGCCAGTGGAGGAGCTGCTTGGGAAAGTGGTGATCTTTCACCCTTCTCCCAGCCAGAAGTGGGATCAGACAATGGGGCTGGGAGATGTGAGAAAAGTGCTGCCTCTGAATGGAAAATGGCAGGTGCCTCAGATCTCGGCATTGCAAGTGACACTAAATGGCCACTGTAGGCTTAGGATATTCATTGCTAAGCTGAGCAAGGAGGCGGGGGGATGGGGTGGAGGGGGCAAAATGTGGGACCCAAGCGGCACTCAAGAAAGGGACTGCCTTTGATTATACTAGCTCAGAGCTGGCTTCTCCTTGAAACTCATTGCTGTTAGGAGTTCCACATTCCAGATGCTGGGGCGTATTTCTTAATCTATTAATTTGAATGTGTAAACCCACCAATTGCTACAGGCTCAGGGAGGACAGATTAACCCCAAGTGTTTTGAGAAGAAGAAAAAATAAGCAATTAAGTCATTATCAAAAATCCCTTCACATCTTCCAATCTGATAATGTGTGCCAGCAATACCCTGCTGCTGTTTATATATAATCAGTTGCAGGGGAATAAATGGACACAAATCAGACATTAAAAATGTTAACACTCAAAATAGTGGGAGCATTTCAGTCTTGTTGGACATTCAGTAACAGAATTGGAAGTTGCTATGCTTTCGCTGGGAAGTATCAAAAGTGGGACTCCAGAAAGAAGCTGCAGAATTAGAATTCTTATGAAGACACCATCCTTATCCGTTCTGGGGCTAAATGGAGTCTGGTAGGGACTAGAACAGTTCTTGTTTTGCCTATTCATTTCAGAGCTGGAAGTGGGTCACTACCCCTGCAATCTTCTGCCCTTTTCAGTTGACTGTGTTTACTTGCCTGTAGCTCCTGGGCCTCACTTTGCAATAGCAACCCCCATGCTCTACACCTGTCTAAAAAGAGAGAGGCACCTGCCAATTGGAGGTAACACTTCAGGCTGAAGTAGGCTCTGGCCTACGAAAACTTATGCTACCATAATATTTGGACTGAAAAAATGTGGAAAGGTGAAGGATTGATAGACCACACAGCAAATAGTTTGCTGCAGCCAGATAGAGTGTTGTGTCGAACACCCCAAAAAGCACCACCAGTCTGTTACAAATGCTTAATTATGGTTACACATCAGAGATGAGGAGTTTCTTTCTGTCTATCCACAGCCGCGTTCCCTCGGGGGAACCTGTCCAGGGGCCACACGCTGGTGGAGGATGTGGCTGAGGGGAGCAGGGGTGGGGGTGTGGGGTGTGGACCAGAGCACAAAGCAGAGCAGCCCACCCCTTTTCCCCAGAGGCTGCAGGGGGAGGGAGGTTTGAGCTGGCAGGATCTGGGGGGCTTTGGATATTATCCCCACAGGTACAAGTTGCCCCATCTTTTATACATAAACAAAAAGCATAAATATCTTAAGAATGAGGCATTGATAAAAAAAAATGGTTAAGCATGATTTAGTTTGGAGAGGGATGTACAGACAATTTATTTAATCAGGTTTCCTATTTACATTTCACTTTCACATACTATTTTGCTACTCTATGATAACAATTCACTCAACACATCAACAGCCTTTTCATAGAAAAAATGAAATATTCATTATAGAACAGTAGTGCATACATTATACTCCTGAAAAGCCAGCCTGTACTTTAACACACTAAAAGTTTGGAAGATTTGTTCACTTGAATTTAAGGTCAAGAGATGCACTCGTGTGATTCTAAAATTTTGGTTAGTAGTCATGTTGTCGTGTTCTGGACTTGACGTAATGCTCAACAAACACTGGTGACAGGCAAGCAGCAAAAAGGGGGGTGGGGTGGGGTGGGAAAGAAGGTGTTGCAAAATTAAGGTACCAGACTTCCCTCGTATAGACTTTGGCCAATTGCTCAGTGAAGATCGGAAGGACTCCACATACAAGAATCAAATCAGTACAACCTCTAGCAGCAACTTACCAAGTTTACCTTTGGCTTTTGTGCCAAGCTGCTCTCTTCCCCTAGTTAATGGCCTCAAAATAGTGTTTACTTGGTTACTATGATGTCTAGATATGCGGAAAGCTGGCTAAGGTAGTAGGGGGGGGGGTCACAGTAATATGGAGGTCCCAAAAGCCAAGCCTTTGCCCGTCACCAGTGAATGTGCCTGTCGTCCCAGTTTATGAAAAATGGACTTTCACCCAGTCAAAGCCAGCAAAGGAACTGCTGCAGCTGACTCAGGCAAGCCACCTTCCGAAGTGGAGAAAATGGAGTTCAAGCTTAGGTTTGCAGCTTCTTCTATGCGTAGGTTCCTCCTGTGATGAGCAACTCGTAAGCAGGGTCCCGACTCCTCCTGCAGAGCACAATGCAGGCACACAGCATACCCAGCAGCTGCAGAGAAGAGGAGAAGGAAACTGAGAACGCAGGAGCATTATTTGTACCAGGTATTGGCTTTCTGAAAGCTGCCTAGACACCACACAGATGCAATTCAAGCCATTCTGTTTCAGGAGGGTATTGCCAGACCTCTCCCTTCAAGCTACTTTCCATTGTGAAATCCCTCATTTGTTCTGTGTTTCATTCAGAATCAGAAGTGCTTGCTATTTGCAACTCCCTTTAGCACCAGAGGTTTTAGGAATCAACCCACCATGGGGCCTGCCATGAGTTGAAGAGGAGGGGGTGTGCCACCTGGCACATGCAGGAACCTGCACGCATATCTGGTTCTGGTACTCAGCAGGGACAGTTCAAATCTGTGGCTGTGACATATGCAGAACTCGGCACAGGCACACTAGGCATGTTTATCAATCACACAAGTGCCCTGACTCACAACAGGAGAAATGATATTCAGTGAGGCCTCATGGGGAAAACCGCTGTCATTGGTTGCCATGTGTTTTCTGTAGGGAAAGTTCAAGTATAATAATAATAATAATAATAATAATACTTATTAATACAACCTGTGTACAAATAATAATAATACCTTTATTGTCAATGTACAACCTGTGTACAATGAAATTAACCGAGCCTCCCCCCCATACACTCAATCTCCTTGCTCTCTGTGTGCTTGTCACACAACACACCAACCCCCAAAGTCAGTTGCAGCATATTATTTTCCATTCAGCAGCCTAACAGCCCACGGATAGAAACTTTTTTTTAGCCTGTTGGTACAACTGATTATTCCTGCCAACCTAGCAGTTTGAAAGCATGTCAAAGTGCAAGTAGATAAATAGGTACCGCTCCGGCAGGAAGGTAAACGGCGTTTCCATGCACTGCTCTGGTTAGCCAGAAGCGGCTTAGTCATGCTTGGCCAGTAAAGCGAGATGAGCGCCGCAACCCCAGAGTCATCTGCGACTGGACTTAATGGTCAGGGGTCCCTTTACCTTTATGACTGATTATACTTCTATATCTCCTGCCCGAGGGCAGAAGATTAAAGAGGTGCTGGTCAGGGTGTGAATCATCCCTGAGAATTTTTCTCGCTCTCCTAAGGCAACGATCCCTTGCAATATCGTCTAGCGGGCTCAGGGGACAGCCCATGCTATCATGTGCTGTGTTCACCACCCTCTATAAAGACTTTCTGTCCGTGGCTGTCAAGCCAATGTACCACACTGTGATACAATATGAGAGGACACTTTCTATTGTGGACCAGTAGGAGGAGGTCATCAATTGTTGTTTAACATTGTTCTTTCGCAAGAACCTGAGGAAATGGAGTCTCTGTTGGGCCTTCCTAACCACCTGAGTTATATTGTTTTTCCAAGTGAGGTCTTCACTAAGGTAAACTCCCAGGAATTTAAAGGAAGAGACTCTCTCCACACAACCCTCCGATATACAACACGGCTAGTTCTCCTCTCTTCCTCCGAAAGTCCAACACCATCTCCTTTGTCTTGATAATATTTAGGTGCAAGTTATTCTCTAGGTACCATGTAGATACTTTTTGAACCTCTCTCCTGTACACTGATTCATCTCCACCTGTAATTAGACCAATTATGGTAGTATCATCTGCAAACTTAATTGCAGGGGATGGATCAGATGAAATACAGTCATATGTATACAACGATTACAGGTAGGGACTCAGCACACATCCCTGTGGGGTGCCAGTGCTGAGCTTCAGGGAGGTAGATGTAACAGGCCCAATCCTCACTGTTTTGTGTCCGATCCCTCAGAAAGTCTTTAATCCAGTCACAGATGGTAGAAAGGTCTAGTTCCATCAGCCTTTTGTTAAGAATGGATGGTATTAAAAGCCGAGCTATAATCAATAAACAATGTTCTAACATAATTCCCCGGTCTCTCCAGATGACTCGCCGCAAGGTGAAAGGCTGTAGCTATGGCATCATCTGTTGACCTGTTTCTCCTATTGGTGAACTGATGTTTATCAAAATCCAGTGGAAAACATGTCCTAAGGTGTTGAAGGACCAATCTCTCGAAGCATTTCATCACTACAGGTGTCAATGCAATAGGTCTGTAGTCATTTAGGCAGTTAGTTGCTGTTTTCTTTGGGACTGGGACAATGGTGGCTGCTTTCAAATATGATGGAACACAAGCCGTTTGCAGAGAGAAGTTAAAAATCCTTGTCAAGACCCCTGCTAGTGGATCGGCACAGTTTTTTACCACTATCCCCAGCACCCCATCTGGACCAGCAGCTTTACTGGGATTCACCACCCTCATTGCAGCTTTCACTGGATGGTCATATGGAATAAGTGGCTGAGAGTTTGTAGGCTGGCAGGCAGGAGCTATGATACCTGATCTTTTTACCTCATAGCGGGCAAAGATGTTCAGCTCCTCTGCCAACAAATCATCAGCCTTAACCGTGTTCCTCGTATTGCCCTTATAGTTGGTTAGATGCTGCAGTCCCTGCCACACTTGTTTCCTGTTGTTATCAGCTAGGGCAATTCTCCACCCTAAGCTTATATTGTTGTTTTGCCACCTTAATGCCTTTCCTGAGCTTTGTTCTTGCCCCTCCGTATATATCTATGTTCCCTGCCTTGAAGGCAGTATCCCGAGCTTTCAGGAGTGACCTTACTTCAGCAGTCATCCAGGGTTTGCAGTTCCCATAGACTCTGATGCACCTCTCTGTTGTTACATTATCGGTGCACACTTTAATATAAGAAAGTACAGCAGCTGTGTATCTGTGCAGATCTTGATGTTCAAACACACTCAAGTATTTAGTAGTGTTTGGCACCCTGACTACAGCTTTTATAAAATCTGAGAATTTCACTGGAGATCAGTTTCCTCTCAAACATAACATGCTAAAATGGTACATCTAAAATTATCGCAAAGAGGGTAAAGGTTCAAACTTCTGATTTGTGCTGATGCCTTTTCAGCACGAACCACCACCAGGTAAATTGGACTCAAGGAAAGTGCTTATCTACTTGATAAGCCAGATTCAAAATTCTCCCTCTGGGTCATCTGAACATGTGGGTGGAGCTGCTCACTTGTCAATTACCTGATGTCAGGTAACTCTTCCTTTGCAGCCCAGCTTGAACTGAAGCAGAGGCTGCAAAGAAAAATCTTTGAAAGAATATCTCTTGCAAAGGAAAAATGAAGACTTGGCAATGTACTTGGTGTGGTCCCGATTCTCCCTGTTCCCACACTTGGTGTCAGATGGATGTGGTTTAATGAAAACCAGGCCACATGGGAAGGCCTGGTGGGAGGAGAATCAACTGCAAACACCCTTTCCCTTCTTGGAACAGCTTGTGATGGACAAGGACATAGGTGAGAGAATAATCCTTCTGGCATCTTACTCCCCGCCCCCAGCAGGGATGGGACTGTGCCAACAGGCAAAGCCTCTTTGCTGGCCGGCATACTTCAATCTGTTCCGGAACTTTTAGGAAGGGCACATTGCATAGTCCCATGTGTAATATCACTTTTGTCAATACTTCAGGACTAGTTGTTCTGTGCAGATGTTTGTTCAACACACTGTTTAACCAGTCTTTGAAGAAACAGTGTGTTGGGAATTCCAGAAATGCCCATATTGAGATGAGGCCATTTAAGAACCATCATGTATGGTTGAGGGTTTTTTGCCTGGTAAACCTGGTCAGAACAATACAGAGAAAATGGGAAAGCTTTGTAAAAATCTCTGTAGGAGATGGAGAACACAAACATCAAAAGTTATATATTTTAAGTCTTACCTGAATGGCAGCAAATGCCAGAGCTGCCCAAATAACATACATCATGATCTCTTGTAGTTTCTTTACAACCAAAGCCTCACATCCCTTAAGGAAAAAGAACAAGCCAGTGGTGCTGTTAGCGGTAGTATTTCTCTTCTAAAATGCTTATGCTACATTCTGGGACACCCCTCTCCTCAATCCAAACTCTTTGCCGTCTGTTAGATTTCTGAAGCTTAGAAAACTGCAGATTGTGTGTACTGCTCTCTCTGCCCTCCAGTGTCCTCTGTACTCTTGCCAGGCAAAAGGGAACCCTTGGCTGTTCTAAGCATTAACCAGAAAGGCAAGAAACAAACAGCTGTCCTCAAGCCCTTGCTTACAGTTGCTGCCTTAGGAGAGGGCTGAGATGCACTGCCTGCAACAGCAAGTCTTGGCACTTGCGCTTCTCCACAGAACCCTTTTAAGGATGGCGCTGCTGGTGTCATCCTTTTCTACACTGTGATAACCTGGGTTTTATAGCATTTTGTTTTAGCGTATGAGGACTCACATACAAATCACATGGGTGAAAACACAGTGCAAAACCCTTACAGAAGTGTTATCACATACCTGAATTTTCCAAGAGAAAAGAAAAAGATGCATATGGGAGGGGGGTTCATAGGTTCTATAGGTCCCAATTAAGGTATTTGCTAGCCAACATGTAATAGTCAGCAGGCTATGGCAGACAAAATATGAGACTTAGACCAGGGTACCATTTAGGTTCAGAGCCACCTTTGCCTTGCTGGCTGGGTGGCCTTGCATCAGGTCCGCCCACGCACCCCCAGTCTAGCCTACCTCACAGAGTGGCTCCTTTTCCTTGCAAATTTTGCAGCTTAAGCAAAAGAGCTATTCACCTCAGCATAAAGGTCTGTGGGGCGAGTCAAACTTCCTGTGCAATTGCTGCTGGTGGCTTTACAGCAGCTGAGAGGGACACTGTTGTTTTTCGTTTCTTTGAACCAGTTTGTGGTCTCCCAGTCACTGTAGTTGTGGATCCCACAGCAGCGCAGCTACAAAGAAGGAGAGAAAGGGTGAAAAATTCCCTCAGTGAATCAAATTGTGCTCACTAAAAATGCTCGCAGCATCCGGGGTAGTTCCATTATACGTGTCATACACGTATTTAGCAAAGCATAAAGGTCTGTGGGGCGAGGCAGCAGGTCCCAGGATTCCTCTGCTTACTTCATAAAGAAAGACTCCTATCTCAAAAGATGAGCAGCAATTGGGTATCTTCCAACTAACATACTTTAGCACATAAAGCATGCAGCACACCTGCACCCTTCTACGTGAGCAACATCATGCACAGAGTGCCTCCAGCTGCTTCCAGGCCAGAGACTTAGGCCAGTTCTCACTGAGGCTTCCCCAGATCAGGCTACAGGCAGGAGCTTGTGATGAAATGCTGCGCCACACTCAAAATTTCCTTCTGCACAGAAAGCAAAATGCCTGCAAGAACTAAAACAGAAGACCCCTTCTGACAGCATCCTCCCTAGCATTGTTGGCAAGGGAAAAGAGGAATACTATCTTATAGAAAGCAACAAGCCAGGAGCTGTAAATGTGGACTTGTTCCCTTTTCAGGAAGCAGTACAGTGCTTGCCTTGACAGTGTTTACATTGGCTCTCACCTGCCTCTGCACATAATCAATGGCACGGCTCGCAGCATCCGGGTTAGTTCCATTATACGTGTCATACACCTTCTTAATACTGTGATCGACTTCAGCCTCCACCTATTAAAACAAAGAAGTGCAAGTTCTTTTCTAAAGTTATCCCATTTAGAGGCCTGCTGAGCCCCCATCCCCTCTATGAGTCTATTGATCAGTGTGTACAGTTAGAGTTCCCTGATGCATCGCTTAGGGGCCCCTCACCTTCTGAAGCAAGGCAGGTGGTGACTTTGGGCTTTTCTCACTCACAAGACGGCTATTGCCATAGGAAGAGCAAGACTGCTGTACCTTGAATGCAACACCCAAGCTGGAAGCAACTGCATTTGCTTGTATTGCTCTGACTCATCATTTGGAAATGGTGGCCTCTACCAGCCTTGCCCAACCTGGGTCTGATCAGATGCTTTGAACTACAACTCTGACCATCCTGGTCCATTGAGCCATGCTGGCGGGGGGCTGAATGGAATTCAAAACAGCTGGAGGGCAAAGGCTTCAAGCTGATTGGCTGGCTGGTTCTCACTACTTAGTCAAAGCCTGATCTAAGTGGGGCCCCCAAATGAGGCAAAGATGGATTGAAGCAAAGCTACAGGGAACCAGGCAGAGGGCCTTCTCGGTAGTGGCGCCCGCCCTGTGGAACGCCCTTCCAGCAGATGTCAAAGCGATAAATAACTACCTGACATTCAGAAGACATCTTAAGGCAGCCCTGTTTAGGGAAGTTTTTAACGTGTGATATTTTACTGTATTTTTGGTTTTTATGGAAGCCGCCCAGAGTGGCTGGGGAGACCCAGCCAGATGGGCGGGGTATAAATAATAAATTATTATTAATTATTATTATTATTATTATTATTATTATTATTATTATTATTAATGGATGGGGTGAAGGCAAACAGCAGCCTTCTAGTGCGGAAGCTGGTGTGTCTGCAACCCTCGTGCATTTTCTGGTCTCCTTTGCTTCTACCCTCCCTCAATCAAGGGAAAAGCTTTGGGAAATTTTTAAAACTGAAATCTACTTATTAACTGAGGTGGTCCCTTTCAACTGAACAATTCCATGATTTTATGATTTACTTAAAAACATTTATAAACACTTAATATTGAAAAAATATCTAAGTGGTTTAGAATAACAAACAATACCAGTAAACAAAAACGCAATTGAAAACTCACAAAACAACAGTACGCAAACATATTAAACAGTAAGCATCTGACCATAAAAAAACTGGAGAGACCAGTAAGAGTTTGAGGCCCCGCAACAAGCAACAAATGATGTACGATGTTAAAAAACACATTTTAATACTGTACATTTGTTAAAAATTCATCCAGCTCTTTGAAATTAGTGAAATTTCTGTGGGTCTAGTTCAGTGTTAACCCTAGGGTTTTTGTTTTTAGAAATTTCTACAAAGGCAGAATAGAATGCCATAAGAACAGCAGCTGGGCATACAGTAGTATCTTCTTGGATAGCTCAGCAGGTTAGAGCGTGGTACTGATAACGCCAAGGTTGAAGGATTCTGTTAGCTACAGTCATCCAAATTCTTTGCTTACTACCTTATTTTTCTCTAGCTTTTTATCTCTTTGAAATTTTAAAATACTTTTCTTAGCATGTGCCCACTTTATTTTTACATCTATAATTCCATTCCAATAGCCTCCAGCAATTTTACTTATCAGAAATACAATGCTACAGAATCCTAAGCACAGTTAACCACAATACTTAGCACGTAAGAAGAGACAACTACCTTTGCTCTGTAGATATAGCCCAGAACAACCACCACAACTTCAGTGATAAAAACCAACAGAAGGATGATCACAAACTGCAAGAAAAAACATGTTATGTTGGCAACTTACAGTTTTGTGAAGATATAACTATGCTATTTATAGGTTACACCCAGATAATCTAATAAAGTCCTTCGGTAATGGTGAATGCACTCAATACCCATTGTGTTAAAGAGTCTCAACTCTACCGGTAATTTGAGGAAGCAAACACCATTTCAAAAACATCAAAATGGTCAAGTTCAGCATACAGCTTCTTTAGACAAGGTACACTAAGCTTAGGAAGCTGACTCAGCATTCCAAATGGTGCATTTCAAGAAGCAATTATTTTATGATAAAGACAGGTAGCATTTACAGCAACTATTAGGCTCCAAAACACACTGGCAGTTCTGAGGAAACGCTTGCCAGTGTGTCAAACAGAAAACCCTTTCCAAACATCAGACTTACTGTAGCGAGTCCACAGCGGCTTTCCCGGATCGTGGCACAACAGCCAATCAAACCAATGATAAAGAGAAGTGTCCCCACTGCTATGATAACCACTGCAGGGATGAGTGTGTAAACATCTTCAAAGAAGTGATCGTAGTCATCGTATGTGATGAAGACATAGGCTCCCACATAGCACAAGATGCCAGCTGCTGCCTGCAAAAACAAAGGGAGGTAAGATCAGAATTCCTTTTAGCCTAACACTTGGGTTGTGTGTATTTGTGCAAACACACACAGGTTTTCAGGCTTCTGCTCAACAAATATACAAATATTTTATGGGGTGATTTCTTTACAGGTTATGCTGTAGCTCAGTAATACCAAACTAAATGCAGCATTATGCAAATCTATGGTTGCAATCATAACCACTTAGTACAAGCTACTGGTTAAGCATGAACCGCAGCAAACTTCAGCATGAGATGCTATTAATTGCCTCACACACAAAGCTTCTACTAAGGATTGAGGTGCTAAGCATTACATCCCTGACAATTAACGACCTACTTTCTAGCAGATGGGAAATGCACCAACTCCTTCCCCTCTCAACTTGAGGAACTGATATTCCTCAATCCCAGAAACCAGAAAAGCTACGTTATATATTATTCATTGCGACTGCACCGAAGGTCATTGCCAACTTAAGCCCCATTGCCCAAACCCAGCAAACTTCCAACTCAAGCTGCTGATTGTGCTAATGCAAAATTATTTCCACTTCCAACTGTTGGAATGTTCAGGGTGGCAGGAGAGGATATATTGTTTATTAACATCCTTGCTAACTTGTGCTAGCAAGTTCCTTTACACAGCAGAAAACGTGCTGCAAACTCGTGTGAGTTTCTTGACAATACGCAATTCGATCTGGCCTGTCCAGATTGAAATATGTTCTAATATTTTCCTGGTGAAACCCCTTGAATCCCTCCTAAAAGAATAAAGACACCAGTGTCTTATTCATAATTAACAAAAAGAAAGTTTACTCACGATCAGGCAAAGCACAGTGTGATCCCTGAAGGCAGGCTTTAGGCTTAAAGTTACAAACTTATACTAAGAGGTTTATCCCATAAGGGTTGACCTAGTGACTGCAGTTAGCAGTCCGGCAGTTCACAGGACGAAAGGAAGATGGAAAAGAGAGAGGTGGCTGCATGACTTGGCCTTTTCTTGGGTCTGGAAAGGTCACACCCACCTACTAGTCGCATGAAAAGAAGGATGCTCCAGGCCAGGAGGAACAGGAAGTTTCAACTGGCTGGACCAAACATTCCCTTGCATGTCCACTCTAGCAAAACAAGGAATGTTGTATTTGACTGCTCCCAGTGGATTACATCCCACACCAACACCAGCAGCATTAATGCTGGTGAATGTTTTTCTAACCTCCATACACATAAAGAGGTGCTCTCACATAGCCTCAGGTAGAGTGGGTTAAGTTCCACAAATCAATTTGCACAGGATCACACCATAGGTCCCAAGTCTGATCCTACATGGGATATTCATCAAGCAGTTAACATTCTTCAGGACATGTGCTAGAAAAACTCCATTATATCTGCTGCTTTCAATTTACAGTACTAGAGCTGTCACCTGCAACGTCTGGCTTCAGTGTAAGCAACTTTGCCGGATGTCTCCAAATCTATGTTCTTGAGGACAACTAGGATTGTCTACCTGAAAGGAGTGTTAGAAACTGGGATAGAACAGCTAATTGCCACACGGCTCCTGGAACCTAGGCTACGGCCACAAAAAGCATAAGTGGCTAATTGCCTTTTTTTCACAGTTCAGCAACACTTTTTATTTGTTTTTTTGAAATGCATGAACTAATTCACAATTCACATCAGTGACACACTTTTAATATCACATGTTTAAAAGCAATTTTTAATTGGACACCACAAACGTAAATGGGGCTCAGACCCTGTAAAAATGGCCAAAACCGTAAGTCATTTGAATAATTAATATTTACAAATACCAACATATGTGTGTGTGTAAATATTTAGATATCTAATATGTGCCCTTTTACCCTAGCCTTAATAATCTCTCTCTCTCTCTCTCTCTCTCTCTCTCTCTCTCTCACACACACACACACACACAGCTTTAGCCATTGAGGTCCCCATCCATGCACACTTTACTTGGGAGGAAACCCCACTGAACTGTAGGGATTTACTTTCAAGTAGAAGGCAGCCTCCAGATCAGGATTGGAAACAACCCTTTTCTTTTTCCAAATGGTACCCAAATTGCTTCTTTTGTTTCTTATAAATTGTATTTATTGTATTACAGTTTGAATTCCATAAAATTATACAGTGTACCTCGGGTTGCATACGCTTCAGGTTACAGACTCCGCTAATCCAGAAATATTACTTCGGGTTAAGAACTTTGCTTCAGGATGAGAACAGAAATCGTGCAGCGGCGGCGCAGTGGCAGCAGGAAGCCCCATTAGCTAAAGTGGAGCTTCAGGTTAAGAACAGACTTCCAGAATGAATTAAGTACTTAACCCGAGGTACCACTGTACTCCTCTCCCCCTCCCTTCTTTTTTGTCTTGGGCTCCCTGGTCCATTAGCATCTGTGCCTGGTTTTGTGGAGATTTTTGGAGTGCTTTTATTGGCTGCCTTTTCATTTTCAATTGATTGGGACTTTAGACTTTTGGGTGTGTGATTCATTCCCTCTGCCTCAGGGAAAGAAAGGGTGGAAGAATGAGGCAGACGCCCACCTGTTCTGGAGCCTCCCTTAAGATGAGAGAGAAATGCAGAACCAAACAGGCAGGCAGGCAGTGCTACTATATATAGAGATAGATATAGTGTGTGTGTGTGTGTGTGTGTGTGTGTGTGTGTGCGTGCGCGCACACACACACACACACACACACACACACACACGCGCACACACACAGCTCTTTTTCTCTTCCTTACACACAAAAACACACACACCAAGCAAGCAGACACACAGTTGCTGCTCAGGGGCCCGATTTCTCCTCCTCCTCTTCCTCCCCCCCCTCCTTTCAGGGTGTCCCTACAGAATCTGCTGCTGCAGCAGACAAGCCCATTCCTCTGGCAGGTTCAAGGAAGGAGTTTCACAAGAGCAAGCAGGACTGGCGTCCGTTTCAGTGGATGTGAGTGAGGGGATATGGAGCCAAAGGGACAGCCCCACGTGGAAGCCCCCTCATGGCCGGAGCTGCGAGCTGCTCTTCCCTACCATCTCCTCTTGCCCGGGCCAAGTTAACAACAACAACAACAACAACAACAACAACAACAACAACAACAACAACACACCGCGGCTCCTCTCTGCTTCCCCATCCGGCCAGCCACGCGGCTGAGGGGTGGGAAGGCACCTCAGCTTGAAGTTTCACACCGGCCCCCTTCATGACGCCCAAGCAGTCCTTCTGAAGGAAGCAGGGTGGGGTTCAGGTGGCCCTGCAGCCAGAAAAGAACGAAGCTTCTCCGCTTCTCACAGACTGGTTGGAGAAGTCAGGCACAAATCAAGCGACCAGAAATCTTGGCTGAGTCTCATTAGAACGGTTCCCAGGCACCCTGGTTAATTTCAAACACTGCCTGAAAGCGGGAATTGTGGAGACGGGCCTGTCCTGGATTATAAACCACCATATCACCATTAACTACTAATGCAAAGATCCACTGTGGGCAGTGTTAGAAATCACCCTGGCGCCAGGCGTGTTTTGTGACTGGCGCAGGGCCAATTGCAACCATGTGGAGATCTCTGGATGCCAGGCTACAGAAAACAGGAGGATCTGTAATATTTCCCTTGCAGTTTGAATTTATTTTATTCTGGATTGTTTTATTTGATATTTTAATGTGTTGCAAACCGCTTTGAGATATGTTCTTTAAAATATAAAGTGGAATAATAATAATAATAATAATAATAATAATAATAATAATAATTCCACTGAAAAAAGGGTGCCTAGACATTCTGTGGTGGCAACCGTAATCTAGGGCTAAAGTTCTAAGCAAAAGTGCAAGATGAAGACAGGTTAGCCCCAAATATGGAGAATCGATGTTCCCCACTGGTGCCCATTTGCAAGGGATACACATCTGTCTTTACATCTGTCCCATGAACTTAGTTCCCTCCACCATCTTGGCTCTCCTGCAAACTACCCTGTAGTTCCCCAATGCCGGCTTCTCCAGGCCCCTGAAAACTCAGCTGTTGCTGATGCTGTTTGCTTCCAAGTGTCTAGTTCTCTGCATTGCTACTACAGATTACTGCAGTGTTGCTCCAGAAAAGAAGTACAAGGGCTATAGGAACCTCCCAACACTTGCATCCTGCCATCAGAAGGAAGCTTAACATCCAGCTGCCCAAGTCTCCCCAAAATGTAAACTAGGCAGGCAAAAGGTTCATTTAAATCTCAGTCTAATTTATTAAAACAGATAGGGAGACCATTGTGTTGAGTGATAAAGAACCAAATGAAACCACAAGCCTGAAATCTTATTATGCTAATGTTTTTATGTGGCACAAGCACTATAATCTTATTGCAAGATACTATCCTTGCATAATGTGAATCTGAATTAACGCTGCTCAGTATGTGCTACTATTACACCTCAGCTGTACCGAATGGTACTTAATTTCAAAAAGCATTGACTAGATGACCCTTGTGGTCCCGTCCAATAAGTGACAGAAACAGAGATATGAAAGCTAGGAGCTAAATGGCACCTTAACCTGAGGTTATGGGCACAACAACAGAATGTCTAGGTACATTTTTTAAATAACAAGACTACAAAGCTGAAAACGAATGAACTGCAGCTAAAATATTATGTTCATTTTTCACATGTCCTTCCCCTGCCCCCCCCATATATTCTTAAGAGGGTCTCTTCTCTAGTCTTCGGAGAGTAGCTGGAAGTGGGGAGGCAGAAAAAGGTCCTCCTTTCCTTCCACTCTGCAGTTTTAATTTGAAATCATAGGCGCAGTACTGCACCCAGAGCTCAGAAACGGCTCGCGCCAATGAAATTCCATGTCACAAAACAGGACTAGAACAAGGGAGTTTTGAACACTGCTTCCAACTCTACGATTTGGTATTCTATCTCAGACAGTATGCTTCTGATTTGCCACAGCAGATTTGTACAATTTCACACAAAACATTTTTACCATCGTAATCACACATCCACAGACCGCTTAAAAACAGGAGACTGAGAACAACCAAATTCACAAATAGAAAGGAACATTTCTCAGTTGGACAGCACAGGCTTTGC